ATTTACTTCTCTAGAGTGCAAGGACGGATTCATAGTTTCTCCTTAGTGGGGCCAAACTTAACTAGTTATCATAAGGTCATAACTTATATTGATTCAAGCAAAGATGATGCAGCTTGTTTACTTGAAACAGACTGCTTGATCATTTGGTTAACATTTTTGTTTGTCTAGCTAGTATCTTATCATAAATATATAATGTCTGACAGAATTCTTAAATATGGGGCCAAAATGAAGAAAATATGCAGATCGATAGCTTATCTAAATGCTTCTTTCAGAAATTTTGTGCTGGCAGAATTCATATAATTCAAAAATATTGGATAATGTTAATAATCTGATTAAAAGTCAGTGGTGGCGATTGTCAGCAGTTCTTGCTAGAGTGTGCTTAGGTTCTTATGCACAAAGATGGATAGGTTTTGCTTCAGCATGATATTGGATGAATACAAACTGCCGCTTGGTTATTTATGTTCTATTGCTTGTGACTCATTGGGCATTAATGGCAAATAAGCAGTGATTCCTAATAGGCGCTACCTTTAGGTATATGTTAGTTGGGACTGTAATCTCAAAATCAATCGTTTAAGGTTTCTGATAAAAAAGATGGATCTTTTTTTTATGAGGTGAAAAGATGAAGCTGCATAAGTGACCCCTGAGCTTTCGTTTCAGAGTTGTTCAAAGTTGCAATAGTTGTGAAATGTTTACCTAGTCTCAGGGTTGACTTAGTATCCTGCAAGTTGGTTTTCTTAATAAGGAAATTAAATTGTCAGAAGACTATATGTTTCCTATCCTGATGCAAGCTTCTTCTCTCTTGGCTGTCTATTCATGTGAATGACAGGAAGGAAAACCTCTTGTCCTCAGTGTAGTAAGACAGGCAGAGCAGTCTCTTGTTAATGATGCGTGAGTTGTCTACTTTCATATTTCTTATCTGTAACGGAATTCAGGCCTATCATTGTGATTCATTGATTGTACGTTCATAAATTCAGATCACGGGTGAAGGAATATCTTCCGATTATTGGATTGGCAGAATTCAATAAATTGAGTGCAAAGCTCATCTTTGGTGCTGACAGGTAGAAAAGTTCACTTGGCATGATATGTTCGACGTAATTCAATCATTTGACTAAATTCTCATCTTATTTGTACCTCCTTTGTGTGTTGCATCTTTTGTGCTGTTGAATAGCCCCGCTATTCAGGAGAACAGGGTCACCACTGTGCAGTGCTTGTCAGGTACAGGTTCACTGAGAGTTGGCGGTGAGTTTTTGGCGAGGCATTACCATGAGGTATAGCACTATTTATTTATCCATTTATTCATCTTGCACGAAATCAAAATGACTAGATTATACACTTACGAAAGATCCGTCTGTAAAAACATTTCCTTGGTTTTTATTCAGCGCACAATATACATTCCCCAACCAACTTGGGGGAACCACCCGAAAGTTTTTACTCTGGCTGGATTATCTGTAAAATACTATCGATATTATGATCCTGCAACACGTGGACTTGATTTCCAAGGTGAATTACTTTTTAGCTAGCCTATTATTAAGCTCTCCTCTGTGTATACATATATATTTGCAGGCAGGTATGCACATCGGATTGTTTTCTTGAATTCATGATAGATTTATTTTTTTAGAGTATAACAATCTAGTCTCTAATGTGTTGTAGGTCTGCTGGAAGATCTTGGATCTGCACCATCTGGAGCAGTTGTCCTACTACATGCCTGTGCTCATAACCCAACTGGTGTTGACCCAATCGTTGACCAGTGGGAGCAGATAAGGCAGTTGATGAGATCAAAAAAGTTGTTACCTTTCTTTGACAGTGCCTATCAGGTGGGTTGTCGAACAGATTGATATACTTAGGATGGATACATCGTTTCATGTGAAACAACTGAAGAAATTTTTATCTTGGTTTAAAATTCTCTCTTGAAACCCTAGGGTTTTGCCAGCGGAAGTCTTGATGCTGATGCACAATCTGTTCGTATGTTTGTGGCTGATGGTGGTGAGTGCCTGGTAGCACAAAGCTATGCCAAAAACATGGGACTCTATGGAGAGCGTGTTGGAGCCCTAAGTATTGTATGAGCTATCTGTCCTTTTTCAACTGTAGAAAACTGACTCCAAACCATGTTTCATTTCCAGTAGATAATCTATTTGAAAGTTTGCTTCAGTTGCTTAAATTTCACTTTCTAATGTAGATTACATTTGTGTAAGCGAAACATGACAGAATGACTGATTCATTTTTCATGTCTGTATTTGAGTTGAATATTGACTGCTGGCCCTGAATATGTTTGAACTCCCATTTTAATCTATAGGTATGCAAAACATCTGATGTTGCTGGCAGGGTCGAGAGTCAACTGAAACTCGTGATTCGGCCTATGTATTCTAATCCTCCTCTTCATGGAGCCTCTATTGTTGCCACAATCCTCAGGGACAAGTAAGGAGTTGAGTTGTGTGCTGACACTGCAAGTGCCATGCCATAACTCGTATTTCAGAAATTCTTTATATACTCAAAAGAAGTTGATCAATTTACTTCTCTAGCCACTGATTTCTCTTGATTTTTCTTTCTACCCTCGTGCCTTGTGCTAACTTACATTTCCTCATGTGTCAGTCTTTTTTTTTTTGTGGGAACTATAAATATGGTTTGAGTGCTAAATTACATTTCTTCATGTCAGTCTTTTTTTTTTTGTGGGAACTATAAATATGGTTTCACTCAAATATGTCTACCTCATATATGCAGGGACATGTACAATGAATGGACTATTGAATTGAAGGCAATGGCTGACCGCATTAAAAGCATGCGTCGTGAACTTTTTGAAGCCTTGAAGGCCAGAGGTGGGTGCTTTTTTGAAGTTTTGTATCTGCTGAATTGAACTTGCTCAGCTATGTCGATTTATTGTTGTTTAGCTGAATACCCTTAGCTGTTTGGTTTTGTCATTTGTCGCTCTACTATGTGTATTGCATTCTTCAATAAAATCCTAATCGATTGTGTCAAAAGATTGAGTCAGCGAAACCTGGGATTTCTCCCTCCTTGTCTATCCCTTCCTCCTGAATGTGCATGATAGGTCATGCATTTCGGCGGCCAAGCAAGGCCGCGTCTCATGAATTTCAGTGGGGCAAATGTCTCCACTAAAGTCTAACTTTTGTTTTACTTTAATATGCTTTTTGGGTGGGTTCACTTCGCATATCTTTGCCCAATTCAACTCAAAACTCACTCATACTGTAACTATTACTTGCTGCTTTTGCTTGCAAGAGGAAAAATTGACTGATGCAATCAGATTATTCGACTTACTGAATGGGTCGATTTTTTGAACTACATCTTCATTATATAGGTTTATGCAAATTTCATAGTAAAACGCTTATATTTCACGAGTTTTCTTATAGGGATATTATCTTATCATTTCATTGCATCTACTGCCAGAATCTCTGAGCAATGCTCCTGCATTTTTAAATATAGTTTCTCATATCTTTGGTTGATGAGGTTGTAATTGGCCTAAAATTGCCTGGTTTGCCTCGACTCTTTAAGAGTGAGCTGTTTAGATGAAAAAATGTTTGTGCACTGACTCTAACCAACCACGGGGGAAATAATTTAGAATTATTTCACCCAAAGAAGGTTCCTGCTTAAACTGTGTAGTTCCTAATTAGACAGTCTGAACCATTTTAAATATGTTTGAGCCTGCCTGTGAGTTGGGTCTACTGTACTCATAAAGGATGAAAGGTTCTCCGGTTACTGGTTTTTCTCTTTTATAGGCACTCCTGGTGACTGGAGTCACATTATCAAGCAGATTGGCATGTTTACTTTCACCGGATTGAACTCGGAGCAAGTCGCATTTATGACACGAGAATATCATATCTATATGACATCCGACGGGTAACGAATTCTATACCCTCTTGGTTGGTTTATCTTGTATTCGACTATTTATTCCATTCGCTGTTCACGATAGTTGCTTTGAGACCATTATACCATCATGATTCTATACTTTCAGTTTGTCTGACACCTCCATGTAAGAGCATTCTCATGCCTTTTTTGAGCAGTATACCCTTTCCACAAGTGCTTCCTATGAAGTTTCTGGTTATAACCACTTAGTAACAATTAAACTACGCTCTTTAACGTAAAACCCAACACAAGAACATGATTAGTGTGCACAGAGTTGAATGGAAATCCATTTTTTCTCATAGCATTCTTATATTAAACATGCAGGAGAATCAGCATGGCAGGTCTGAGCTCGAGGACTGTTCCTCATCTGGCAGATGCCATTCATGCGGCTGTTACTGGTTCTTCCTAAATGCTCACAAGCATCATTCTTGTAAGCGTGCACGTCCTCGTTCGCGACGTGATTAGTTCATTACAATTTTGCTTACTCTTGCTTGTATCTGGTTTGAATAATCTGACCCCGACGAGTCAGGCATTTGAAGCATCCTCTTTTGTGCTGGGAACCGGAATTTAAAGACATGTTATGACAAAATATTAGGAATTCCCTATAAATTTGTTGGTGTCATTAGACCTGTCAAAATGGATGATAAATCATTTAATTAACTCACCTCTATAATTCTCTTTTCAATCTCTCTTGCCCTTACTCAATCTCGCGCTCGTTTATTACGTGCTCTCACCTCAATTTAGATGAGTTTTTCTAAATGGACAAGTATGAACAACAAATATGGATCGGATTGGGTATGAATTAGATATAGATTGCCAAATTTGTCTCATATAGAAATGAATCGAAATGGGTTAAATGTATTAATTTGGATCAGATCATTTTTTACTAGATTCACTCATTTGACTGACGGGTCTATATGTAAGGTCAAGTCGCTGGTTGTACATACATTCATTTTCTTTTCCATTCCGGTCAGTCCCAAGGGGGCCAGCATCAAATCATCTACATTTTAGTCGATAAAGCAAAATCAAAGCAACTCTGTTTTCTGATGTTCGACTAGAGCTTAGTCCTTAAGCCAAACCCCCAACAAATTAATAGCAAGTCCAGAGAGGACAAGAAATGGTTTTACCGAGGAGCACCGTGAACAAGCCAAAGACTGTAAAAGCTCTGATCACCTCAAAGATAAGCATAATAAAAGCTTAATAACTCTGATTCCTTCGGTAAAAAGAGTACAACAAATACGGACATTCTCGTACGGTGCTCGGCAAGACTAACTCGGCAACAAAAGAAGACAGATTGCCGGGCGGATCCGACCAATTCTACAAAACCTGTCCCAAAATTGATTAAGAAGTTTGGGCCTTCGACTTTCATCGGCCTACCTTCTGAGATTTGTTTGCACGACCAAAGCCAGAGTCATTCCCCCTCGAGCGAGGGTGCTTCCCACCTCTAAAATGTTTTCCTCCTCTGAAAGGAAAAAAGTTTTATCGTTACGAGAGAGAGAGAGAGAGAGAGAGAGAGAATGTTAATAAGACACGTGAACAAAATGTATGAGGTGACGAATCAACCGCACGGTGTGCATACTAACCTTCCTCGTCCACCCCTAGTATCCCGAAATCTATCCTGGCCACCACGAAGCAGGCCCCAGTATTCCTTTTCTGCCTCACCTGCGAGAATGAGATTAGCGGATCATTCAAACATCGTAATACACTTTGCAGCTTGCTGCACTCTCACCCGTGTGTGGAAAAGACATCAGAAAAAGCCCAAGATCTGATGAAAACGAAAAGAACTGAGACCAAATACACTTGCAAAAAATTTGCAGCTGCCCACGCAGTAATATTGTCTAAAGAATTTACCAAAAATTGGAAAAGAGATCAATTGTGCAGATTCAAACAACTCGAAGATAAATATCAATTAAAATTCACATCTAACCACAAGAAGAAGATACCACTCAAACCGTTATGAAATGCTGGCAAAGGGAATAAAAAAAAAGGCTCTAATAAAAGAGCATCTCCAAGTCTATTTTATAGGTTATCATACAACAAAGACCAACCAACAAAACATATCCTACTGCTGAAACTATAATTATTATACTTCCACGGGGCAATACCCACGGTCTTGAAATTGCAGACGGCACTTGAAATAGAAGCTAACATTTTCATCAATAGGAAACTAGATAGAAACTCAATATGGTAAGTGGCCACAAATGCTTCCATCAGAATACTGTCATCAATGGGAGGAAACAAGAAGCACCGAGTAAAAAGAAAGTCACTATCTACCTGTAACAGGTTCCAACGTGGCAACATAGTTTTTAACCAAAAGACCCCCTTCTTCAGCAAGAACTGCTGCAGCACGAGCTTTTTGGGCTGCTTCAGGTTCTTCAAACCTTATGTGACCCGATTCATCTCCCATCTTGAAGTCAACAAACTTCAGAAACACCCAGAACCATTAAAAGTAGTCAGATAAACGGAATAAGATAGCCACTACATCTGTCAACAAAAGAAATTCTCCGGTTCAAGGAGCCACTAACTAGACGACCAAAGCATAATCAAGCCACCGGCCTTCGCATTGTAAAGAAAGAAATGTAAGGATGTCTTTAGCTTTAAAGGTAACTGAAAAGTGCAGGCAATAATTTCCTCTTCTACATCACAACTAAATAAGCAAATTAGCGCATCTCCACAAACCAGAAAGAATTAGAGAAATGAGCAAAGTACCTTAACAGTGCCAAACTTCCCAAAGACATTCTTCAGATCCTCACGCATTACCACATTCATGTCCTTCTTATAGGTAGTGGAAGATCTCTCCTTCTCTCCATCCTTATGTGAGGCACCTTCAGCAGACTGCTCTCCACTTTCATGCTCCTTTTCGCTACTCTCTAGACCATTATTTGCACCTTCTGTTGTATCTTTCTGCAGCCCAGCATCATCATTGACATGTTCTGATGCTGCCTGATCAGCTTCAGTATTGATCTTCTCTGAAGAATCTTTAGACCCGTCAACATTTAACCCTTCTGTGTTTTCACTTGCTGCTGGCTCACGAGTGCCATTTTCCTCAGTAGAACCTCCATCTCCAATGCGCTTCAATGTGAATGCAACAAGTAAGCCTTTTGGGTAGCTGCAAAAATAAGAGAGTGGATGTCATCATGCTCGATATGTCTGAAGAAAGTAGGAAAAAGAAAACATAAGCTTAACCTCTACAATCAAGAGGCAATGTCTTACTTCAGCTGTGGATCAGAATTATTCTTGTTGTCTGAACTCATGGGAGGAGCATTCTCAAACTCTTCCATCATTTTTGCTCTTTCAGCATCAAAATCCTTCCTGAAGGGCACAAAGGCATTAGCCATACATACAACAACATAACCTCATCCACAAACCCAGCACTATCAATTCAACAGATCCCTAAACACCACAAGACACAGGAAAAGGTGATAACAGCTACAGAAGAGGATTCGCCAGTCAAATTGAACATTACAGTACAACAGCCAGCTCTACACCCCCAACTGTATCAAGCTAATGTCTCTTCTAGCAACTACAGTTTCACTAACAGAGTTTACCAAATGTAGAAAGTCTCTCTTTTCCAGCAACTTGACAAAAGATATGGAAGTGTGGTTAGGGTGCGGGATACTGGTATCTAGTGACTCTTCAAATCTCAGGACTATGATATTCCAACACCAAACACAAGTAAACTGGTGAAAATCCTATGAAAATCCTCCAGCGAAATATGTAAAGCACGCACGAATACTCATCTCATTAGCTCAACTTCACAATGTTACTAATAATTAGTCACTCATAAAAGAACTCCCAACTATGATGATCTAACACCAAACAAGTAAAGTGTCAAAAATCTTACGAAAATCCTCTCCAGCCTTAGTATCTAGAGCACAATGATCGCACAACCATCCATCTCATGACCACAAATTCATTTGAGTGAAAAGAGAATGACAATGTGATGTATCTTTTGGCAGAGTGCCCAAAGTAGTGCAACAATACATAAGGAAACTTCAAAGTTTCAAAACTAAAAGGATCTTTTTAAAACCCATGAGTCGGGTTTGTAAATAAGGAACAGAATTTTGTGTATAGATTATGCGAATGGCACAGGTCGATTCCTCACACCACCAAGTACAAAGCATTTCATGCTTAGGCCACCCACTAGGGCTTTGACTCGTGTCTTACCTGGTTCATGAAATTAGTGAGTTATTTCAAGGCTCAGGATACCAACTTAAAGTGGGCTTCCTTGTCATAAAATACAATTGGAGCTTTTATGCTCTAGCAGAAATTTAGAATGAAAGGTTGTAGTAGCAGGAAATTGAGAGCCATTAGTGTCAAAGTCAAACAGCAGATTGAGCTCTACAGTTTTATCGCAAAGATCAACCCTCAGGTACTTTTTCTGACATAGCTATCAAGACATCACATTACAAAACAGTTCCACAGACAGTAAAGTTACAGTGAACTAAGCACTTGCATGTCATTACTTGGTCCAACATTGACCATTTTCATAATGATGAAATAAAGTTACTAAAGCTTATGTTATCATTACACAATCCAATTGCCTGGAACTTGTAAAATAGCGCAAAGGTAAGCAAAGATCACTAAAGTAAATTCCCTTTAAAAACAATTGACATAAAAAAACTTACTTTGGTTTTAGCTCTAATTCAACTCCTGCATAAACTACACTCTCATTCAAAACCCTCTCAGCATCTTCCTGGGCTGAAAATTCAACCAAAGCTGTGCCACAAAATACCCTTTTGTCTGCAACATGGCGAGGTAGCCTCACACTATTAACCTGAAATAGAGGGACTCAGAACCATGTCCACATTCACAAAATGTAAAAAGAAGGGCATTATAGGAGACAAAAGAAAAGGAAAAGGTAAACCCAATCGAAGGCCTCATAAGTTAATTCTTGAAGCTCCAACTTCTACATTGCCCTATATCTCACTATGTCACAAGAGATGGAAGATCTCAAACAGAATTTCATCCACAGAACTAGTCAGGTTGGAACATCGATTCACTACATAGGTATAATGGTGACTTGGTAATCATCCAGCACATACATAAAAGCAACTTTTGCACAGATTCAGAAGGTCAAGTGCTTTGAAAAGACCTGGAAGCTTAACTCCGTCAGGGTAGTCAAAAGAGCACAAGGCACATGCTGAAGCGCAAAAGAAAGGCAAGGCAATGGCTTTTCGCCTCTGTGATGTTTAGGCGAGGCGCCTTCAACAAGCCACATACGTTTCTCACCTAAGCCATCAGGCGCACAAGGTGTCAGGTGCTCGCGTAATATAAATTGTGGGTTATGGAAACCCAGGCGAGTCTTTCTTTTACATGACACATATATCCTTTTATTTTAAAAACATAGAGAGAAAAGAGATCCAGAAAAGTAATTTTTAAACCTAGAAGAATGTGTTTGACTTTGTTTTCTTCTGAGTTGTATGACATTATGTTTGGGTTACTTTTCACTCCATCCCTACGGCTAAGAGCACAGTTTTCTTGCACAGCATTTATTTACATTTCTTATATAGTTCAAAATTTAAATATAAGGTTTATTCTTCTCAATTGCGCCTTGCTTTGCTTGGGTTTGCGCTTTTTTTTCGCCTCGCCTTAAGTAAGATAATCCAAAATTTTTGTTCCCGAATATTTAACCCATCCTAACCGACTGAATTGACCAAGTCAAACTTCCCAATTATAACCAAAGAAGGGCACAAGCTGTTCAAGTTATTCCTTAATATAATTGACTATAATTTACCAACAAAAGCAGCTTTCCACGTGCTCAGGGAAAAGAGACGATAAACATGCTGCTCTAGCATGATCTATGTGTCCTAGAACCTTGCTCTTGCAACCACTCAACACAAAAAGGAGAACCAGATCACCACCGAAAAAAATCAAATAAGATCGTGAAAAAACTCCTTAATCGACCAACACAAATGAATAGATGTGGTAGAATGAGTACTACATAAAACTCAGGAATGCAAATCTACCTATCACAGATGAAATCCATGACAAGGGACAAGAAACGCTAAACTTGCAAAAAAGATGCAAACAGAGAAGTATGAAGGCTGTCATCACCTTCGCAAATTGAGTGAAAAAGGATTCCACATTTTCCAGCTTTACATTATACTCTAGCGGTGATGCAGCAATGGTTCTTGTATCTACTTGCTCAATCACCTCTTCAGCTTTCAATTCAGTAATCCTACCAACTCTCTTCCCTGAGAGATAAAGAAAACATAAATGACAGAGTATGTGCAATACCCTAGCATCCCAAAAAGATTGTATGTGATCCAATGCTTACTAAGGTCATTCTTTCCATATCCAGGAAGTAATGTTTTTTAATGCATCTAAAGCAAGTCATGTAGCTTCATATTTCCTCAATAGCCAGTATGAAGGATCACGGGCAAACCTCCTATACTCCTCCCAATATCAACATGTACCCTCAAGCTACTTAAACCTAGGGAAAGATATTTAAAAAGTAATCGCACCACTATCTCGTCAACAATCTTACACACTGAAAGAAACCCCCCCCCCCCCCCCCAAAAAAAAAAAAATAATAATTAAATGGGTTAAATTGTAATGAAAAGAGAGTATCTCGCAGATGTATAAACATTATAGAAATGAATACACAGAGAAAATCACCATCTTCAGAAAGTTTAAGAAATTCAGACTTCCGAAGGACATCAGCCACTGCCTTCACCGTTTCCTCCGGTATCTCTTCAGGCTTGAGGGTCTCCAATCCCAGATGGCTCCTCATCCGCGTGAACGAGCAAATCAACGCTAAACTGACCACTGCAGCATAATTAAGCTCCACAACAACAGACAAGCAGAGAACTCCCAACTCATCGAAACCAACCAAAACCCGCAGACACCAAAAACCCACAAACGGCTATAAAAATAGATAAAAACAACGCAAACACGTGACCAGAGAACGCAAGCAGCAGAGGATACGCCCATCTTCGCTCTCGCCGATCGACTTCTTGAGGAAATTGTCCCTCGGAAGATTACTGTCGCTGAAATAGAACTCCACCTGCGCATTTCGGCAGATGTTAGCAGGGCTTTAGGCGAAGCGAATCGCCCCCGAAATCCCAAAAAAAGCGCGAGCGCGAGAGACGATTCGAGGAGTTCGGGAGGACCTGGCGATGAACTTTCTTGGCTGTTTCTTCGTCCAGCGACGGCGACGCCATTGATGCTTCTTCCTCTTTCCTTCTCTGCGTGATCGGAGGAAGGAATGGCGAGAGAGTTCGTCGGTGGGGGGTTTTTGGAGGCTCGGAAGGGAGAACGACTCCGCGAGAAATGGAGGTGATTTTATTAGGGTTTTAGGGGAAGGAGGAGGAGGAGGAGAGAGGGGTTGGACCGGGTTCGCTTCCGGACCGATTGTGGAGCCGGTTTCGCTCTCCATATTCCGGTTCGCTTTGGAGTTTCTTTTTCCTTCCTTTGGGTCGAAAAGAGAGAATAAAGGAAAATACAGTGTCGCCCTTTCGGAGACATCTGTGGAAAGTTAAAAATGTATTACTCATTGTACTCACATATATACCAGTTTGAAGTTTTTCATGGTATTATCTTCGTATTCCAATGTCATTTTCTTGCCATTTGGTGAATTTTTACGGTACGTTGGATTTGATGCTCAAATTACAATCAAGAGATTGATTAGAATCGAGCTTTGCTTCTATGCTGCATATTGCATATTGTTGACGAGAAATAAATGGTAAAATAGTATGGTGACGTCCCGTATTCAATTAAATGTCCGTTACAAAAAACAATGACAAAATCGGATGGCTGAGTTAGGGGAGTGTGGAAAAATAGCTCGTCTATTTGCCATTTGGATCTCTGCCCACCTCTTCCTAAGCATCGGTTCATGCTAGCTTGAGTTTGAAAAAGGCATAAAGCAAAGTGGGACTCTGAGCTGTGAATGCCCAAAATTCGCTCTTGAAATGAAAGATTCTTTTTGTGGTCGTTTAGAACTGCATTTGGAAGGGAAAGAACCGAGCTTGCCATAAAAACAAATGACTGAACATGTGCTGCGGGTCCAATTTTGAAACAGCATCTGATTCTGGGGTAAAGATGACACAGTGGGAAAGTGGAGATCAGTTTAAAACAAAGTATCACCCACATTCATTCAGGTTCACTTGACTGTGAGCTTCACTGAAGCTACTTTAGAGAACATGGATGTAGAACGAAATGTTGCAAGCTTCTATTATCAAGGATGATCACATTGATTCAAAATATGGATCTGGGTCTAGAAAACTACTAGGTAAGACAGACAATATTTAGCTTTTAAGAGTCTGAAGAAAGAGCAGAAGAGCGATAGTGTGCGACGAAATCAGCAGATTCTGTTTGATCTGCAAAAATTCATGCATCGACCTCTCTCTTGGAGTTAAAATACATGACAACCAACTCTCAGAGCTAGTCACCATAGCAGTTTAACGCAGGCCTAACAAATACCATAAAGTAGGGAAAAGAACTACTGCAAACCCATGAAATACCCCACCGCAAGCCAAACATGACACCAGATTGCAATAGACAGCTACACAAACCACCAACCAGAGCAGCAAACCGACGCAAACCAACACATAATGCATTCTGCTGCGTCGTAAGGAAGAAAAACGGATGTAACCTATGGTCAACTCTAGAAACAGCACTGATGTGACGACCAATAAAACCAAACACCAGGGGGCAAAAGGCCTGTAAGTAGCAAGCTTGTAACACCCAGAGCTGATGTAAGCAGGTAAAGGCTAACAGCGCATATGAAAAGTTGAATTCAAGAAAGACTCTTTGCATACAACTCGCAAGACAACATGGCACAAGATGATGTCTCATCAAGTTCTACAACTAAAATATTCAATCCACGAAAGATTGAGGAAGTTGTATCTGTAAGATTCTTCATAGGACACATCTCATAAAATTGCACCAAGGAACATGAAGTTTCCCCTTAAGCCTTTCCGAATCCAACACTTCCTCTCTGTACCAAGTGCACCCAGCACTTTTTACTATCATCAATAGTAGCTAGTTCCGTATAGTAGGGGAATGAATGGTGAAAGGATGGAGATCATTCATCTTTGAGGAAAGACTCCTTCTGGCCTAGGATCATAGCTGAATGACTAAATTCCCTTGTTGAGAGCAAACAACAGCCAACCACAATGCAGAATAACATTATCACATGAAGTCCTCCTCCAGTTCCTGTAAAGACTTGTTTGCAGAGGCAATTTGCTTGTTAGATGTCATATTTTCAGCAACCATCAAGCCCTTGTAGCTCCTTAGTTCTGCCTGCCTCTCTTTTTCAAGCCTTTCCATTTCCTCTCGTCGTTTCTGAAAAAGAATGTTATACTTCATGATCTAGAGCTATCCAAGAAGACCAGGAAATTTGGTCCAAGACTCATTAACACATAACAAAAAACGGGTAGTTATTGTAACAGTTAAAACACTAGCACCCCTTTTAACCCACCTTTCACCCAACCAAAATAAATCAACTCGTGAAACCCTTAAAATAACATACAATCTGGGCTATGACAAACTACAGAAAGTTCAATGCCCACTCTCAAACATTATCTGAAGTAGAAGCCGAAGGCTATAAGCCACTAACAAAACATGACAGGTATTGTACAGCAATCAGAGCAGAATGCCAATTTTGTATACAGAACAGTCAAAACAGAATGACAGTATACAGGCCTGTTTCTTTAGGCTAAAGTAAAAGCAAAAAGTACTTTTTCTGCTTTTCCACCAAAATCAAAAAATATTATACAGAGTTTACAAATTATGAAGCTATATAAGAATCTGGATGTCAACATCTATATGGTGTGACAGTTTCAGGTATTTCAGGTTAAAAAAAGTTCAAAGTGTGTCTATCGCAAAATTTGGATTAAGCAAAAAATATAAGTGAAAGTCTATCCAAACATGCTCTAATGAAACAAGCATTGCAAAAAGAACAGCTTTGGAGGATGCAAGTGTTTACGGGAAACTTTCCAGCTTTATGACAGATTCCCTTGACATCTAGAAGGAAAATATATATATAATTATTAAAACCTGAACAGTTCTCTACTCTACCCATACACCAAACCAAACATCTATCCTATGTTCCAAAGTCACGTAAGATCAAAACACAGACTGCTGTAGTTTATTGTCTATCCAACATGAGGTGTGCTGCTAAAAGAAGGATTTCCAAAGCAGTCCATGGGGAGAATCACTATTGAAGCCTCTTCCCGCCACAGTTTCCAAAAATGCAAGTATGTCATACTTAAAGAGCATCAAAACCTAAATGCAGCCAATTCAACCCAACATGAGGTGTGCTGCTAAAGAAGGATTTCCAAAGCAGTCCATGGGGAGAACCACTATTGAAGCCTCTTCCGCCACAGTTTCCTAAAAAGCAAGTATGTCATACTTAAAGAGCATCAAAACCTAAATGCAGCTCCAATTCAACCCCAAAGAAATGTTCTTTCTTCATGCCTCAAAATTAACTTTCTATGACAACTGATCAATCTGGAGAAATTTACAGCTACCCATCAGCTTTGAGGGACAGATGTTACATCAAAATACAATGATGACTGAGATAAAAATAGAAGTGCAGGAAACAGAAGAAAAGGTATATATTCAAACACAGAAAGGATTTACTTTATCTCTTAGCTGTTGCTTTCTTTCTGCTCTTTCAGCTGCATTGACTGCCTCACGCTCAGCTGCAATCATAGCCGACATATCAAATAAGCAATCTAAGCCAATATGTTATATCTATGGCCGACAACAAGTTAGGGTTGAATACCCAAAAAAAAAGGAAAATTCATACCATATAAAATAGAGTACTCTATGGGGAAGAGTGATTAAACCTATACGTCGACCATAGAGATTTGAACAATCTAGATAAATTACTGAACAGATACTCCCAGAAGTCATAAAGTACGTGACACACATAAATTACCTTTTAAGTCAGGTTTCCTTTCCACTTTTGTCCGGTTCAGTCTATTGACGACATCATTAAGCCGTTTCTCAACTCTCACAGTGCGAACCTGGATACGTTGTTAAGAAGAAACAATCTGTTAGAATCAAATATGAACCCAGTTCAGAAAAAAAAAATAGCAAGTTTGATAAACAATAGTTTCAACAAGAAGTATATACCAATATGTTGGTACAGCAAAAAATAACAGAGGGAAAAAGACTTGCCATTTTGGAATTGTAGAAACCAACTTGACCAACATCCATGGACGCCGTTTTCTTCAGATTTCCCCAAGGAGTATAAACAACATCAATGTTGTTTATCTTGTTGCCTATGGATACAATTGACATGGGAACACGACGAAATATTAAATAACCATCAGGAACAGTTCAAGATGTTTAACAGACATGCAAAATGCACAAACTCCAAGCAGGCCATAAATCTCAGATAAACAGTCTGTCCTTTAGTCTCAGATAGCTAAATGGTCAAAAAAATGCTTTGAGAATAATACAGAAAATAATAGTGGTGTTGGTACAGTAACAAAAGTGCAGATCATTTGCCTTGGATAGAATTTGCTTTGACAAGTTGAGCACAGTCCTCCAGCACACCTTCACTAATATCATCAATTGTCTGACCTTTGTGCAGTCTCAAATATACATGAGCAGAGGACATTTTATCAACATGGAACCTGCAAAAGACAAACTCATATGAACAAAGTTTCACTTGGTGTTACATTGATAAGCAAAGAAAGAATCAGTTAGCTTCCTCTAAATTCATAGCCATCACTAGCTCAAACCACCCCCATAAAAAAGTCAATAAATCTTCGAAAGAATCTTAGTGTTAGACGAGACAAAAAATAAAAGAAGCAGTGCAGAGATCTCACTTCAGAATGAGTCATTAGCCAGGTATTCACAAAAGACTGGACATGTAATGCATTTCCTAGAAAGTCATAGATTCAGCTAAAAGTACAACGCATGTGAATAAGAAGCCTTTTGTTAACATGCTTAGATGCTAGCAAAAGAAACAGAAAGGGACGACTACTTGATAGAGTAGATATTATCAGCATAATTATTACTACATACTCAGATGAAAATAGAGTTGCTAAGGAAAGCAACAATCTTCACGTCATTCAAATAGTTAGGAAAACAAAAATGCAACACCCTCTCCACTGCAAGAACCTATCTTCTGATGCATAAAGGAGGACATTCAAAAAGCAACATAATTTTTAATCACTCAGCAGCGTAACCGTCAACTAATTTCTCAGTAATCAAAAGATGCAGTGAACAAGTTCGAGAAAGCTTTCAAAAGCCAAAGACAGGGAAAGAAAACACAATAGCAAGTACACAAGCGACCTTAAATTGAAATAAACAGTGACATACTTTGACATTTCATAAGATTGAGTTACCATTCAAGCCAATATAAGAGTGACAATATGAAATGCAAAAACAAGTTAATCCTACCTATATCACCGCATTCATAATTCAAAAGGAGAACGTATTATTATCTGCTTTTCCAAATTGACCAAGATTCCACTCCATTTCTTTTTCTTTTCTTTTTTTAAAGTATCGTGATTTCAGCCTCTCCCTTTAATCTAATTCAATTCATTTTCCAAATTGAACAGGATTCCATTCCATTTCTTCTTCTTCTTTTTCAAGTATCATGCTTTCAGCCTCTCTCTTTAATCTAATTCAATCCATTTTCCAAATTGACCAAGATTCCACTCCATTTCTTCTTCTTCTTCTTCTTCTTCTTCTTCTTTTAAAGTATCATGCTTTCAGCCTCTCTCTCTCTCTCTAATCTAATTCAGTCCATCTTCTAGGCGCGACAAACAGATAGTCCGCCGATCGTGACAATTGCAGAATCGCAATGCCGATACCAACGGGAATCCCAAAGCCCCTTCCCAAAAATTCCATAATTCGACGCGCCACACTCGATTTCAACGCAATTCCAGAGGGCCGATCCGAATTCGAGAGCACCCGCGATCAGCAATCCACAATCGAAACAGCGAGAGACGGAACCGAGACGGGGTAAGAGAGAGAGAGAGGGATCGAGTACCAAATGTCTTCGGGGAAGCCGTACTTGATGAGCTCCTCGTTCTCGTACTTGTCGAGGCCCATGAAGAGGGTGTAGTCGCCTGCCTCCGGACGGGCCTTGAAGTAGAACACCATCGTCGCCTCTCGCGCGCGCGTCCGAGGAAACGAGGAAGGAACGGTCCGATCGCCTAGGGTTTTGCTGTGGAGGAGGGAGGCGAGCGAGCAAGCGAGGTAGAGAGAGAGAGAGAGAGTCAAGCAGGTTAGCGTAGGAAAGAAGGCGAAGGAAGTCTCTCTCTGGGAACCTCACCGCTCCTCCCTCTTCTTTTGTCTTCGCTTCGAGCTTCCCTCTTTCTTTTGAGGAAATTGCAATTTCGCCCCTGTTCTTATCTTTATTTGGCAAATCGGTCACCTAACTGATCTTTTCTTTCGATTGCATCCTCCAACTTTTTCTTTATAAAAAAAAATCGGATAAGTGCACTGGAAGCCCCTAAAACATATTACGGAAATGCAATCGAGTCCTGAAACTTTCAAAAAGTGCAATCGAGTCCTAAAACTTGTCACGAGGGTGCAATCAAATCCTAAAACTTGCAAAAAATGCAATCAATAGAAAGACTTGATTAATTTAAGTTTAGGAATAATATTGAACATTTTCATATAGTCCGGAGACTAATTTGAATATATACCAAAAATTCAGAGACCACATTGAACAAAGCGAAAATTGAGGGACCACATTGCACATTTAGTCAAAGTTGAGGGACCATTTGTGTCATTATCTCAATTATCAGCGCAGAACAATTTTCCTGTTCTTTTTTTTTATTTCGGTACAAATGGAACTTTAGAATTGTGCATTCTGATTCTTGTGAAAGTAATTCCTCTTATAAAGGTGGAATATGATTCAGAACTTTTCTTCCAAGCATCTCAAATTCTCAACTATAGAGGAGACAAATCCTTCATGTTGCCAGGAAAGCTGATCACAAATCAAACTATTCATACTTGCTAGCTTAGCAATACATACAGACACAAACACACATTTCCCAGAAAAGGCAAGCCAAACTAGTCACTAAAGTTGCACAAGTTGTCGAATCCCATGTATTCATGGCGCTCGATCTTCCCGATCATGTTGGATAATCCGACCACGCCTATCAAGAAGTGCAAAAAAGCAAACAGAAAAGTGAGCATCGAATCAATGTCTCGATCTCTCGGAACTATAGCGAGAGAGGATGAAAGAATTCACTTGCGGAGTATTATTGGGTTGATGCTCACCTAGCAAGATAGCACTGACGAATATTGTGAAGCACAAGATGAAGATGATTATTGATGCCCTTCCGGTTATGATTATCAGCTTCCTCACGATGTGTTGCCCGACAAAGGCAGCGACAGTTGCCACGAGAATGAAGTACAAGGCTGCAAGAGAGCATCAGATAGTATCTGAATTAGGATCAATGAGGCCACATATTATCATATCTAAGTTGAGTTGATGAGTAGGTTGAGCTTTTCTACGTTTGCTTCAACAGTTTCTGAATATGGTTCTTTAACACTGATCGTCCGCAGTAATGTGGGTTATTAGAAGCGCGAACATACCGTAGGGGACTGGAAAACGTTTCAGCAGATAGTACTCGACCACGGACATGGACGAGGAGAAGGACATCCCAAATGTGGCGGTGGCACTCGAGACCTACACAACCATGCAAAGATTGGCTAACAATTCAGAGTAGTTACGTTTCTCCTTCCGTCTTGAAATTAAAGCGGGCATGGCTAGTAAAAACTGTTCCAATATTGAAAGTCTAAAGCGGGTTTCTTCGTGGGATTTGTTATACTGACAAAACCGCTCAAACGTCGCGCTTTTCTCTACTTTCTGTCTGTTTGATGTTCCGCAAGAAAAATTTAAGAAGTCATTGAAAGAACTTGAAGGAAGTTCTCAAAGTTCTTTAACAATCTTGGAGGTTCCGAAAGTTTCACCTCGGGAGGGACGCCAAGCTCCAGAAACAGAGGACCCATGACAAATCCTCCACCGATTCCTAGTAGTCCGCCAATTATTCCGGCCAAAATGCCACAGGCGCCATATGATAAAAGCTCCCGCACTTGCCAATTCTTGCCCTTTTCACCCTTCGATGCGATCACTCTCCATCCCTTGTACAAGCTGATTGCCTCGTATGCATACACGCCAATCGACACTGGCAGCTGCAAGTTCATGGATTTTTAGTCTAACCAAATTAAAAATGTCGGCTCCAAATTAGCATCCAATTTGGAGTACAAAAGAGCGGGCATTTTGCCATTATTAACTTTCAGCTTTTGCATTAGAAACACTTTGGTTTCATATTCCACCAAACTTTGCAGAAAATGGTTGCATTTTGCAACCACAAACTCTTCATTTTGTCATCACATTTGCATCATGGACTGTTATTGCGGCACATTCTTTCTTAAGCGGGTCAAACAGAACTGATTAGTGATCCGAAATTCGGAGTACTTAACATAAATCCTATAATTCAGGGTATAGAGTACCACTGTTTATTCTTTTGCTAGAAGTGCAACGACGCTGTAATTGAGATCTAAAGGAAGTTTGTCTTGCTTCTATGAAAACAGAAATGACCAAATGTACCTGTAAAAAGTTCAGAACCCAGTATGCTGTTGAACAGGTTGCTGTTTGGTTCTGTCAAATTAGAATCGAGATTTCAGTACTTGCCCTACCATGCTCAAGAACAAACAGGTCTTCTGTGAAGTTAATATACTTGCCAAGAGATGATATGATGAACATAAGTTTTACCATGGAAATTTGCAGAATCAGATACGCGACCCAAACAAAAGTAAGAAGCGCAACCTCCTTCCAGTGAATGTTCTCGAGTAGCGAGACCTACCAAAGTCACCCACAAGAAAGATCTAAGTTCAAATAATTAACACATTACACGTACTGATTTCAAACGGCCAGGCTTGCAAAAAACCTGTGTCTTCTTGGTGTTGAATTTAGAGCTGCTGCTCGCCGCTTGGGGAAGAAGCTTTTGTTCCAGTTGGGCATCGATATCATCGTCTGCTGAATCAAATTAAAAGGAAAACTCAAGAGATGATTGGCGACAATCGTTATCTTAGGGAGTTGAACATAACAAAAAGGGAATGAATTAGTGAACTGACCACTCGACTCCAAATGTTTAGCTGCCTCCCAGAAAATGAGCATAAAGTTTGAAAATAGTGAGGCCATGGTTAATATATACACCTTATGAAGCAATTCTCTGTAAAATGTCCTAATGCATTGTGGCAGCACTAGCAATTTTGATTCCAGGAAAAACTTTAATGTCGTTGGAAGCTTTCCTTAATTTGAGTTTGCACGAGGATCTACCTCTTTCAAAACGGTTTCCCTACTCCAGGTTTCTAAGGCTTTGAAGAATGCTTTGGTTGAGGTGCCTGAGGACAAATCGAGGGCATCATTTAGGTCGAACATGGAAGAACAGATCGGAACATAAAGAACGCTATGTAATGTAAACAATTACCCAGTGACAAGAGAATAATCAAGATCGTAACCATCCAGTCGGCGAATATGAGGTTGAACATGACGCCTATGCTAATGCCAAGCATAAGCATTGGCTGGATGAGCAACACTAGATCGTAGTCGATTATGGGAATGTCAAGGGTAGGATGCCTCAGCTTGAGGTTGTACACGACCGTTGAGATTGCCGCACCCATGATCATGCCTGACAGAAACAACGATGCCAAATAGAAGTTTAAGTTCAAATCGACACTGCTCGTGTATAAATCGAAGACCAACACAAAACCAAGTTCAAGCTAAAGAAGTAAACCGTTAAAATGGAAATCCTAAGTCTAGTACCCGTCAAATTGTATCAAGTTCGAATTTTTCTACTTCATGTGAAGACAGGCATGGACTTGGAATTCAAATTTTGTTTCCTTCACCATTTTTTGCCACAAGGTCTGCTTTGGTTTCTGTCTCTTGTACAGATTTTATCCAAGTATATTAGCATAATCACTCAGTCCTGACTACTTACACTTTGATATGGCGGTTGATGATTTGGGGTCGAACCCGATAACCATGCTCAGCATGGGAACGAAGATGCCACCACCGCCAACGCCACCAACACTCCCAAAAGCCGCTCCGAAGATTCCAATCACAGTACCGACGACAATCCGCCACCCAAAATTCATCTCCTGGAGCGGAAAAATTGCTAGTTATGCTACTTCCCTTAACACATTTATTGTCTGGCTATGATAACGGAAATCAAACGGACGGGTCAATTTCACGAGCAAAGTTTCCATGTTGCCTTTAAGAAAAAGTTATGTTCATGTAGAGCATCGTTTCAAATTTCTGGTGAATGGTAAAATTACCGGCCAGACATGCTGATAACTAGATTGATTCAGCTTCCATAAGTAATCCACTGCTCGGAGAAAGTACTCGCTCCCCGTTTTTTCCGTCCCGCCAAGTCCCGGAGACTCAAACGGGAGGCTTCTGTCGGCCGAAACAAACACTATGGCCACCAGAACTTGGAACAGTACCATCAACACCAATCGAAAAGACTCGAACTTGGTGCGAAACTCAGGCATCGCGGTTTCTGTATCTGCTAAAGTGGGCAAATGTCGATGGCGAGGCAGAAAACAAGATGGCCGGAGAAACAGTGACCGGGCGAGAGCGAAATATCGTCAAAAAGGTAGGCGGACATATCAAAGAAAGATGCTCCTATAAATATGGAAACGGGAGGAAAAACCATCTTTTCCCTGAAGGAGTGACCCACCCTCTCCGGCACGTTTTGAAATGACAGAACAAGGGACTGTGCAAAAAGGCTTTCTTGGGACTCCAACCACACGTTTCACAGTATATCCTCAGGAGCCACAGGCTCCATTGCAGCAGTGACTCAAAAACTGGAGAAAATATTGGGCCCAATTCCATAAAAAAACCCCAAACTTTAATCTTTGTCCTAATTATATTTTAAATTTTTTTTTGTCTGCAGCCGGCGGGGCCGACCTCGCCGGCCCTCGCCTCTGGCCGGTCGCCGGACCGGCGACTGGCCGGAGGTTGAGGGTGAAAAAAAGAAAAGAAAAGAAAAGAAAAAAGAAAAAAATTCGAAAAAATAATATTAAAAAATTAAATGAATAGTAAACGGGGTAGATTTGGGACAAAAGTAAAAGTTTGGGGTTTTTATGAGACAAAAAAAAATTTGGGATATAATTGGGACTAAGGCTAAAGTTTGGGATTTTTTGGGGAATTTGGCCGAAAATATTGGGTACCCAAAGTGGTACCAGGCCAGTAAAAAATAAGTAAGTTCATTTTTCGTGCGTCACGTGTTCCTCGCGGGCCCACCTGCAAGAAAAACCCCTCTCTCTTCTGCACTTGCTCTCTCTCCTCTCTTCTCTCCTCTCTCCTCTGTCTCTCCTCTCTTCTCGGCTATGGCCGTTAACTCAAGTTCGACCTCCGCGTCCATGGCCGTTGCAAGTTTTCAAATCAAGTGTCCGTGACCACGAGACTCTAGGTCTAACTGCCATAGCCGCAAGCTCGAAGCTCCATCTACACGGCTTCTGAGCTTGAGCTTGAGCATCCATGGCCTCGAGTCTTCGCAACTCGGGCCGCCAGCTCAATAGACGGCAGCCATGGTCAAATGGTTGTGCTCGAGCTCGCGCTCTACTCTCGAACCTGAGCTCTGCAGCTATGGCGACGGCGAGACTCCGGATTGAGTATCCTTGGCCATAAGTCTCTAGATCTAGCGGCTATCGACGGGATTCCAAACTCGAGCAATCATGACCAGCCATGGCCGCAAGCTTGAAGCTCGAACATGCTCACAACCACGAGCTCGAGCTATGTGGCAATGGATGCCGAGATGTTGGGCTCAAGCTCAAGCTCCATGGCCATGGTGGCAGCAAAAAAGAGAGAAGAAAAGCAAGTGCAGAAGAGAGAGGCGAGGAGAAAGAGCGGAAGAGAGAGTTTTTTCTGGCAGGTGGGCCCGCGAGGGCACGTGGCACACAAAGAATGGACTTGTTTTTTGCTGACCTGGTACCACTTGAGGTACCCAATATTTTCTCGAAAAACTGAACCCCCAAAAAGCGCTCTTTCCGATCTTTCCATTCATGTGCATGGGGACAAACGCATGGCATAAGCTTTTGTTTGGTGGGGAACGAACCACAGAGGGGAAAAAGCCTAAGCAGACCCCCCACAAAAAGCGAACGAGGTGTCACGCTTGGCTTAGGAGATGATGGCCCTGTGAATTCATCGTCAAGATTCTGAAAAGAGTAAGCGTTAAGTTGCTGCTTGTTAGTCATGACTAGAAAGCAAGAACTTCATGTTGGCCACGAAAATAGCACACTTAGGAACACCATAAACAGAAATCGAAAAGCGTAAACGGAGAAGTTATCGATTCGCACACATGATTTGAAATCTATTGAACTCGACGCCGAATTGGTGACGGTTTCCGAACGCGAACTCAAGTGCTTTTCCCTCATACCCTTCGCCGGAACATTGGCCTAATGAGATTGCCACTCACGAGAAAAAATTCCTCTCTAGATTCGTATATAAGTCAAATTGTACATCATTAGGTAAGGGGAAGGACTTGAGCGTTATTTATAGAGTTTTCGACCACGGGCCCTCTCATCATAGGCCTGTTGACACCTAAATTTTGCCTAGTCATTTAGGATTTAACTTCATAGAAAATTAGGGATTAATTTTTAACCCCTAAATAAAAATAGTTTCATTAAATTGCTTGGCATATAGGCATTAGGTGCATCTGCATTAATAGGGTCTATTGGAACTTTTTTGTTTCTAATTATAAAAAATGTACTAATTAAAAATATAGTTTAAAAAAAATAAAGAAGTAGAAGAAGATTCGAGCCAGTTTGACCCGGCCCGTCCTGCCTGAGCCCATTCCCTTCCTTTCTTTCCCTGGCCTATTTCTCTTATTTTGTTTAATCTTGGCCCAGTCCATGACTTTCTCAGCCCATAGCTCATTTTCCCTCTCTTCCTCTCTTCCTCTCCGCGTGCGCTCTGACCGAGACAAAGAAGCAGAGTAGAGCAGCGTGGGACAAACTGATCAATGGCAGCTTCGAGCTGAAAATAGAAAGAAAAGGAGCTGGCTTAGTTGATTGACCCGAGGGCATTTTGGAGGGACGCCGAAGAGAGAGGACCGGCAGGAGTCTAAAAGGGAGCCGAAACCGAGAGAGAGGGAGCTCGAGAGAGATACAGAGAAGGGGAGGAGGGGGTCTCCGAAAAGGAAGAACCTTGCAAACCCCTCATCCTTCATCTCGCCCGAACAACCACCACCACCGTCGACCACCGTCGCCGTTCGACGTTCTCTAGCCGGCAGCACCCTTCTCGCGGCTTCTCACTCCTAGATCCCGACATTCCCGAAGACGAGGACCTGAACGGCAGAGGGGGAAAAAACGCCCGACCGAGAGAACCATAAAAGAGAGATTTTTCCTCTTTGACCGGTCGTCCGTCTCAGTTGCCGTCGGCTCCTATCGGGCCTCAAGCCGCCGCGCTTCATCACGATCAGCCCCGAACCAGGTAGGCCCCGATCTAATCTTGCTGCCTCCCTTCCCCTGCCTCTCGGGTGCCGGGCACACTGAACTTATTCGGTAGTCGTCCGGCCCCGTCAATGGAGGCTTACACTTGCTTCGCACTCAAACGAGTTGTTTTAAGCGTCGTATGTCAAGAAGGCCATGAATCTCGTTAAAATCAGCCCTGTAGCTTCATTCCCCGACCCCGCCTACCACCTGTTCGGCAAAATATCGAAATGAAACTCCGAATCTGTTTTTGCAAAACCGCCACTCTAAAACTTCGGTATATGCATGGTTTGCTCCAATATTGTCACTGACTTCAAGTTTTCTCTGTCTTTCATGTGGTTTTGTGGTGATTCGCACATCGTACGAGTCGGCCATGTGTGCATTCCGTACCGCCAGAAAGCTCTTCGTCGTCGGATCGATGCCCGCGGTTAGAGGCCGTTGTAGTTAGTTTCCCATCTTTGTTTTGTGTGTTTATGTATGTGTAGATTTAGAGCTTTAGATCTGTTTGAGATTCGGAGAAAAATGGGTAAGTCGACACCAACGTTCGGTCGCTCGCGTAATTTTTCATAGTCGAGGCTAGTTTATGGTTTGGTGGAGGCGGCAGCCAGCAGCGAGAGTGTGGGTCCAATGGCAGCCATCGGCGTTGGCGACGCGTGCCGACAGTCGGAGGTGAAGAGGTGGTCACGGCGTGGTCTCGACTGGATGCGTGGGGGAGGCCTCTGTGAAGAACAGTACGAAGAAGAGGATATTCTGGGTAGAAGGCACGAAGGGGGGAAGGAAGACCAGAAAAGACAAAAGAGAAAAAGAAAAAGAAAAAGAAACAAAAAAAAGGAAAGAGAGAAAATATGAAAAGAAAAAAATTAGAAAATAAATAGGAAAAAAGATCCCGGGCGGGTCAGAGAGAGTCGGGTTAGGTATCGGGCGGATCGGGTAAGGGGACCCGGTCTGGAATCATTTATTTTATTAATAAAAATTTTAAAATATATTTTAAAAGTAAAAAAATTTTAAAAAAAATTCGAAAATATTTAAAAGTCCAAAAAAATATTAAAAAGTCTGAAAAACATTAAAAAAACATCAAAAATTTAAAAAAAATTAAAAAAAATCAGAAAAATTCCAAAAAATCTGGAAAAACAAAAAAAATTATTTGGGCTTTGGAATTGGTTTTTCTTACCCTTTTGTGTGATTAGTGTAATGTTTAATTGCATGTTACTTGATTCACACACTTTGAAATGCACGTTTAATTTAACATCGCATGTGGTTGATTATGCATGTTATGTTTATGTATTGATTGTTGCTTCCCTTAGCCTGGTTAGAGGTGGAATTTTGAGATTCCCGATTAGTGTGAACAAGTTAGGCGGTGATTGAACAAGATTAGGTACCGAAAGGGCACTAGTTGGTCAATTAGTATAATCAAGTCCCCGTACCCATTGAATCTATGGTTCGTAGAAGTGAATCATTTCTCCCATGCTTTACTTGGGTGTCTAATCGACCCACCAAGAACTGATTAATGGCGACTCCTAGATGAAATTGATTTGCTTGTTAATAACTTAAATCTTAAGTCGCGAGTTGGTATAGGCTTAGGAAAGCTCGAGCTAAGTTTAACATAGTAATCCATTAGCCAAACTCCTTAGGCGACGAGGCCGGTTCGAGGAGGTCGCGACAGGGCCGAGCCGTACTCGGCCCACACTAGCCAGCCCCATATTAGACTTATTAAGAACCCATATATCTTACATTTATTAGACCAAACTAATACAGTTAATCTTAATTAATGAAGCTCACATTAGGAAATTTTTACATTCTCCCATTTGGGCGATATTAATTAAAACAGAACTGTGTTCGCACCCTTATGTTGGTCTAGAGATTATTCTTAATAGTCAATCCGATTCCATAAAGTCTCCAACATCGAATCATGACAGTAACTGCATGTACTCAAGCAGAGCCTTCCATGGTCACGAGTGCTTTCAACTTTGCTGATATAGATTCAATATGGTAGTGTGGCAAATGGACAATACCTCATAACGAGTGATACTTCATGTGTTGTCCATTTTGTTAGTCCAAATTCTCTCTCCTTAAGTATCACAAAACCTAGTGTGTCGCCAGAGAATATCCTTCATGATTCCGACGAACCTGCATATGTCTTACTCTTATAGTTAACTGTACCTTATGTGTAACAAGACATATCGTTACGGCTAATACCAAGAATGCCCCTACCCTATACTCAAGGTTTACACAATGCCTCGAGATTTTTATCAAATATATGTACTCAATTTGATAAAGTTACATTCACAAATACAACATTGAATGTAAAAGAGTTGATACATATCCAAATATTACAAAATGTAACAAAATCAGATACAAACTTGATAAGAACATCACAAAACTAAACAGCTCCCACTAATTAACAGTATCCCATAATACTCCTAAGCCCATGTTAATGACATGTCGTTCAAATACACAAGGGCGAAGGTCTTTAGTTAGTGGATCTGCAATCATGTCATCTGTCGAAATATGCTCTACTGCAATGTCATCATTTTGAACTGTTTCTTTTATGGTCAGGAACTTGACCTCCATATGTTTAGACCCCTTGAGACCTCTATTATTGTTGACAAACAATACTGTAGCTTTGTTGTCACAATACAATTGTATGGGCCTATCCACAAAATCAAATACGATCAATTCTCTAATAAGGTTCCGAAGCCAAATAGCCCGAATAGCGGCCGAAAAGCATACTACAAATTCCGCTTGCATGGTAGATGATGAAATGGATTTGTGTTTCTCGCTTTTGCATGATATTGCACCTCCTGCTAAGATAAAGATGTACCATGTTGTCGACTTCTTGTCATCCTGACAACCAGCAAAGTCTGCATTCGAATACCCCACTAGTTGCAGGTCTTGAACATGTCTGTAAATCAGCATATAATCTTTTGTCCTCTTTAAATACCTCAAAACCTTCTTGACAGCAATCCAGTGATCTTGTCTTGGATTCGATGATATCTGCCTAGACGTCCTATTGCAAAAGCAATATCTAGTATAGTGTAAACTTGAACATACATAGTACTCCCAAGTGCATTAGCATAAGGTACATTCTTCATTTGGGCTTTCTCAAAATCTGAACGAGGACACTGCGATAGACTCAACTTATCACCCTTAACAACATGAGCTATTCTTGCCTTGCATTGTTGCATGTTGAATCTTTCTAAAGTATGATCAATATATGCTCTCTGAGATAGACCCAATGTACGGCGAGAACGATCCCTATGGATCTCAATGCCAAGGACAAAAGATGCCCCATCGAGGTTCTTCATATCAAAATTCTTTGACTAAACCCGCTTTGTCTCATGCAGTAAACCAAGGTCATTGCTCGCAAGCAGGATATCATCCACATAGAGTACAAGGAAAATGAATTTCCTCCCACTGACCTTGCAGTATTACACTGATCTACTTTGTTCTCAATAAAACCGAATGAAGTGACAACACTATGAAACTTCAAGTACTATTGTCTAGAAGCTTGCTTGAGACCATAAATAGACTTTTTCAGTCTACATACAAGCGTACCTGAATTATCTGCCGTAAAGCCTTCGAGTTGCACCATATAAACTTCTTCATTAAGGTCTCCATTGAGAAATGCAGTTGTAACATCCATTTGATGTAACTCCATATCGAAATGAGCGACTAATATCATGATCACTCTGAAAGAATCTTTAGAAGAGACTGGAGAAAAAGTTGCTTCATAATGTACTCCTTCTCTTTGAGTGAAACCCTTGGCTACCGGTCTGATTTTAAACTTCTCAATCTTTCCTTTGGAGTCCCTTTTAGTCTTATACACCCATTTGCAGCCAATGGGTCTGTGACCTTTAAGTAATTCAGCAAGTTCCCAAACATCATTATGTTTCATAGACTGCATTTCATCTCTCATTGCATATAACCACAATTCCGATTGAGGACAAGAAACAACTTCTGCATAAATCACTGGATCAGCCACAAAATCGATATTGTAGTCTTGCTCTCCTATATAAACTAAATAGTCCGGTGGTGTAGCTAATTGTCTCTCCATAATGGATCTCTTAACTGGGGCAACAACAACCTCATCCTGCACCTGAGAGGCTTGAGGAACTTCATCGGGAGCTGTCTCGACAACAGGATTATGAGCCTCAACAGGTTCAGTCTGTGGTGTGTGAGACTCCACAAACCCTAAGATGGTTTAAGCTAGGCTTACGTCCAGTCCATAACTCAAAAGGAGTCAATGGAACAGCTTTAGTAGGTACACGATTTAGAATTTACAAAGCTATTTTTAAAGCTTCACCCCACAGAAAACCAGGTAAATTTGTCTTACTAATCATACTTCTCACTATTTCCATAAGGGTGCGATTGCGCCTTTCGACCACACCATTCTGCTCAGGACTTTCAGGCATAGTAAACTGAGCCATTATCCCAGAATCCTCCAAGTATTTGGCAAATGGCCCTTTAAGCTATCCATCATCGCCATCTTGCCATAATACTCTTCACCTCGGTCAGACTTAACAACCTTTATAACCTTTCTCAACTATTTCTCGACTTCAGTCTGAAAAATCTTGAACTTGTCAAGAAATTCAGACTTTTTCTTAATCAAATATAGATAGCCATATCAAGAATAGTCATCAATAAATGTGATGAAATAAAAATTTCTACACAAAGTTGTCATATAGGGTCCACTAATATCATTGTGAATGACCTCTAACAAGTCAGAACTTCGAACTGCAATTTTCTTCCTTATCTTGGTCATTTTACCCCTACAATAGTCTACGCATATCTCTAGATCATTTTTAAGAGTAGGCAGGATATTAGTCTTTATCAGTCTTTCTACTCTTTCCTTAGAGATGTAGCCAAGCTGTTTATGCCACAATGCATAAAACTGTTCATTAGGTAGAGGTCTCTTGGAAACAACATTTTCAACCGTATAAGCGACGTATATGTCATTGAGAGACAAATACAATTTGTACAATCCATTGGACATATTACAGTACCCAACCTTATTTGAATCAGGAAACAAAAAAACAACATTGTTCTTAATTTCAAAAGAGTAGTCATATATGTCCAAACACGATACAAAAACTAAGTTCCGTCTAAAAGAAGATACATAAAAAGTATCTTTAACATTAATATAAAACCAGAGCCTAGAATTAAGATAACATCTCCCACAAACACGATGTCGACTTTCTCGTTGTTTCCCACAGTGAGTCTTGATTCATCATGATTTAGCTTCCTCCGGTTTATAAATCCATGTATGGTAAACGCAACATGATTAGTTGCACCACTATCTAGCCACCAAGAACTGGATGGCGTTTATGATAGGTTAGATTCACAAACAAGTGCCAAAGAATCATTACTTGCAGGCTCATGCTTGGAGAACCAAGCCTTGAACTTTCTACA